GTATTTCTTCCTCTATCACCCCTTACTTATTTTTTTTTTTAAATAACAGCTAGAGAAGGTCCAGCGGGATGAAACCCTCTTCATGTCCTGCAATGACCGATGATGGCACGGCACTTTGCAGGGAGCAGGGGGGAAGAGATTTGGAGACTCAGATCCAGGTCTGTCCACCCGTGTTCAGCCTGCAGCAGCCATTCCTCATGGGGTGGAAAATAAAAACCCTCCAAAAGAAAACAGGACGGCCATCCAAACCCATCCTCGCTGCTTGGTGGGTGGCTGAGGGACAGTTTTGCTGCCTGGCTGTGATTTGCCCCATAGTCCGCATCCAGCAGGACCTTGGGGTTTGCTCCCTTCATTGGCTCGCATTGATACGGCGATCCCTGTGTAGGAAAGAAGCAGCAAACAACAGTGCGAGTTAACCAGCAAATTAATCTTCCCTGGTGAGAGCTTGAACGAGTTTGCTGGAACAAGGCTGGTGGTGGTGGAGGTTTCCCGCACAGCATCCTTCTCCCTTCCCTTCCCTCATCCTGCCTTTGAACCCAGCCCTGAAACAGGGTTCCGGGAGCTGGACCATCTCTGACCGTGCATGGCCAGGGTAGAGTGAGGTATAGTGGGGTCCTACCTCGTTAGGGCGCTTGGTACTGTCTTTTCCCTTGAGGAGCTAAAGAAGGGGCTCCTTGGATGTGGAAGAGGGGAAGGACCGAGTAGAAAACCATTTTTCAGCACTTCTGTAGGAAAAATGTGATTTCCTCTGGCATTTTCCTCCTCCTGCTTCACCTGCTGCTAGGCAATTTAGGTTTTGGTTTTTTAACTAGAAATAGAGGCTCTGTCTGTCCGTCTGTTCCTCTAAAGCTCAGACACAGCTTCTTGCAAATGGCATTTTGCTATATCCACAAATAAGCACTGATGGCAACTCTGCTGCTTTCAGAGTAAAACAAATATTCCCACTGAATCCTCACCTCCCTCTGTCCAGCTGAAGGCTTTTTCAGCGTGTTTATTTCCTCTGAGCTCCATGATGCTCTTGAATGCATATAAAGTGCTACCGCTGACGGCGGGGAATTTCACCGTGGCCCTTAATGGTATACTTGCATAGAGCTGTCGAAGCCCAGGCACACCTGGGCATCAGTGCACAGGAGGCTCCAGCGGTTAGCACCTCGGTCTTCCATCGGAAAAGAAATGTGTGTTAAGATAAGAAAGAAGAAGAAAACATCAACCCTGTAGGTACTCCATAAAATTAAACTTCAGATCCGTGCTGCTGTTCCCGCGCTGTATTGCTGTAGTCTTGGCAGCAGAACAAGACCGTTACTGTAAGAAGTAGGCTGTTAAAATTCGCGTTGTACTCAGGTTAAACTGTCTTTCAAGTTTATCTGCCTAAACCTCACTGATTTAGATTTGCAGCATTGGGACATCATCAGTATAGCTTGTATAATGGTCGTGTCAGGAAGCTCCTTAGTGCGGGGCAAACACATGGCAAGAAATAGCCCCTGCACCACGGCACCTTTAGAGAGAAGAGGGGGAAAAATGGGGCACCCAGCGATGAAGTGATGTTCTCAAGGTTATCCTGACTGTCAGTGGCAGAGCATGGAGCTGAATCCTGAAGTGAGTACCCTGAGACCCAGCGCAGGGTCCTTTCCACTGTGTTGTCTCCTGGCGTTGGGTTAGGAAATCTGCTAGATGCTTATTTTGGTTTAATGTGAGAGATAATCCAGCGATAAGGTGAGGAGGAGCGGTATAAACCTCTGTCTCGTTCCAGCTAGCAGACTAACATGCTCTGGGGCTGGCATCTGGTAGCAATAAATTATTTGCAGGTTTCCCTTCAGATTGCTTTGTTTTCCATTCAGAGGTAAAATAATAAGAATGAAATCCAGATAGCTTCTCAGCCTGGCTATTATGCGAACAAGAGAGAGAACAAACGAAAATACCCCGTCAGTCTCCAAGGCTGCAAACATGCACTGTGTGACCTGAAATTGCGCGTTAAAACGATCCGTCTAGAGGGCTTCTCGCTGAGGAGGCAAACAATAAAGGACAGTGGTTTCATGTAACCTTCATGCATCTGAGCCCGATAACCACGGAGGCTCCAGAAGCACAGTAGTGGCCACGTCCGTTAATTTAAGTTGCCTGGGAGGAGCAGGGGCTGAGCTCAGAAATGGATCTTTTTCCTGGTGTTTTTGCACTTTGGCGGGAAATGAAGACTTTTGAGGATGCTGCTACTGTTCGATTTAAGCTGAGAGAAGGAGCTTGATGGTAGAAAACAAAGCCTGGGTGTGCAGAGCCTGCGCCATCCCTCTGGTGCTGTAAGCAAAACATTTTAAATACACAGCGGTGGAGCTGTGTGAAGTTCTCTAACCCAGTAATGGGGTCTTCCCTATGGGGAAAACCCCAATAATTTTATTTATTTATTTATTTATTAAAAAAGGCTGCTCTGTACAGTAGGCCAGGCAAGGCGGCCTATTTGTCTTTTCCATCCTTTGGTCCTCAGCAAGGTTGGGTCCGTCCCTGCCTTAGGTGGCTCCTGTCCCCTTTGTCCATGCGGTGACCGAGTGTGCTCCCGTCTTCCCAGGGCATTTGATCCTGCCTTGAAAGAGGTGTCGAAGGCAACGGGAGGAATTGCTTTAGGAGGTGCTGTGGTGTAGTGAGGAGCCTGGATGTTAGCTCAGACATGATACCTAATTTTTTGAAGACCAATGTGACGTGAAATTAGATCTCCCCCATTTATAGGCAAGCAGCTTGTCCTTGAAGGGCAGGTTTAAAAAACCTGAAGTTTTGCTCTGCTTTTCCCCCACTGTCCCTGCAGGGTCCCAGCCCTTCCTCTTTTTTGGCCAGCACTGGCACGGTGCAGGCGGTGCCTGTTATGCTTCCCGCAGCCTTCCCTCCTCTGTTGCTTTGAATAATTTATCTGCAGGAAACCCATATTGCCAAGGCACCAGCCCAACACGTGCCAGTTCCCTGGGAAAACTGTCAAAAAAAAAAAAAAGAAAAAGAAAGAAAGAAAAAGCCCTCTCTGAAATTCATTTTGGTTGGAGGCAGGCTCCCAGCAATCAAACGTATTAGTCGTATTGTCGGCGTGCGGTGGCATTAGCTAGCTCGCCCAGCGCACGCCGATGTTGAAAGGCTCGTAAATGTAATGAAGTCCCTTTGACACCTGCTCCTCTCCACACTTTAAATGTGAGCCATTGGTCTGCAGGGAACCGGGGCTTTAAAAATAGAAATCATAGTAATTGTCTGCTGTGTTATTGGGAAGATTGTAATAAACGTGGAGCACAACACCGCGGTGCCACGAGCTGAATGCTGACAGGACGCATAAATCGCTCCAGGTTTTGATTTTTTTTTGCCCTCCCCCCCTCCTGCAGTCTCCCCATCTAACAAATCACATAAATCATTGCGTGTTAACACTGCGTTTCCAGAGGGCGGCAGTGGGAGGGAGGGAGGCAATCGGGGAAATTTCATCCCTCCCCTTTGAAGTGTTTTCAGCTGCGGTGCCCCATCGGCTGGGGACCTCCATCCCCTCTCCCTTCCTGCCCAACAGCCTCCCTCCCTCCCTCCTCACCACCCCCGAACCTCAAGGGGGACAAGACAGGCCCAAACCAAGCAGTGCACCCTCTGAAGGTGATGGGTGAGGGCCCCTGGACCCTTCTGCTGGGGACTGTGAGCAGCAGCCATCAAAAAAGAGTTTCAAGGTGCACATGGGGATGCAGTGGCACATATCATGCGTATATCATCCCCACCGCCAGCGGAGAAGCTCGTGCTCTGCATGCGTGTCCCTTCCTGCTCCTTGACCAGGAGGAGTAGCTGCTCGTGTCCCCCCTTCTTTCGGGGGTGCCAGAGGGTTAGCTGTGGAGCCTCCTCATTTTGGGATGGCACAGGAGCTGGTTGTATCCCTCTCCAACTGGGACTTGTAGAGGATGCTCCAAAGAGAATTTGTTTTTACTACGTGAAATCCCACTTGGAAATGGTCCTTTCCCCCCTTTTCTCTCTCCTCGTTATCCCAGGAGGAAATGTCCCAGACGGTAACACTGCAATAAAACCCGAATCATCTTGTCCCCAACCTACCAGGCTACGATCCAGCTCCCTGCCCACACCCCAATCCTGCGTACCCCCTTGGCATTTGCTGCCAAATGCACCTGCCTGCAGAGGGAGCATCTGTGTCAAGGGCGAGATGTAAAACCGGCTCTTTGACCACTTCAACAACTTCATTAAGTCTCATGAAATCCCATTTCTATTATTCTCGCCATATCTTCTTGCCCCACCGTGCAGGTCCCCTGGTTTCGCTACTCCCACCTCCAGGCACAGCCTGATTTCAAAGCTCCCCCCCGACGCCGGGGCGCGGGTGCAGAGCCCACACTGCACCCCAGAGGTGGCTGCACTTCAGCCTTCTGCTACCTTGTGGCATGTGGTGATGTTTAATTAATATCAAGCACTTTGAAGTCCCCAATGTTACTTATTCATGCCCGTATTCCCTGCAGACCCTCCTGTTTGATGTCCATGTTGCAGGGGTTATTTAGATGCAACCCTCTGTGTCAAATTTAAGCAGAGAGGAGAGGTTGCTCTTTAGGGCACTACACGAAAAGTTGCCCTTCCCGGGCACGAGATCAGCTTGGCTGCATATTCAGAGATTTCTGAATATGTGCCAGCTACTCGCCTAGGTGCTCACAGCACTTCTGTGCTGTAAATCCAGAGAAATCAGTTCTGCCCTTAACAAGTGATATTTCAGACGCAGCTGTTTTCCACCACGGGCCATCACATCTGGGTGTTTGTCCCCCTGTGGTGCCCGAGCAGCAGAGAGTCCTTGTTGTGTCCCAGGATGTGGAAATTCATTTAAGGTTGCTGAATTTGGGCACTGTGGGTTGCACAACAAAAGCAATGCAATGCCTCTGTCTCAAAAACGTGGGAAGGCTTTCCCTGCCGCCCAGGTATTTACACAGAGCAACAACCACATGTGAGATTGTCCTTTAACAATAATTTTCTTGTTATCTTTCAACAATTATCTTTTCTTTCCATTCCAGATGAGTTTAGAAAATGACGATAAGAGAGCACGCACGCGATCGAAGTCTATCAGAGGTGAGCAGCTGGTTATCCCGCAGCACGGGGATGTATAGACCTGAGCTCCCTGCGCTTTGCTTGTTCCAAATAGGCTTTGATTTTTCAGGTCCAGGCTTAACTCTTTAAGTTATGCTCACTGCCCCCCCTTCAACCCCACCAAAATTTGTCTACAAACCCGGAAAACTCCTGACCACAAACCTTTACAGGTCCTCATAGTATTTAACACTCATCCCCTACACCCAGGAAAATAAGAAGAAAAAAAAAGGGCCCCTTTGCTTGCTTTGCTTTAGGGGGATCGCAATCACTGGAGCTTCAGATCGGCTCCTGGGACTTTCATCATGCACGCTCTGCCAGCGGCTTTGAAGTTGCACATCTGAGAGTGCCTGGCAGAAGTAGTGCACGCTGGAGAAGCAAACGGGGCCGTCCCCCAGCAGGGACGTGTGGACAAATGACTTGTGAATGCAAAGCTTGATTGTTATTTATCTTTGCTCTTGGTCTTTCTTTGCATGCTTTCTCTCTGGGAGAAGGCGAGGTGCTCCGGTAGGGAGCAAAGGGTGTCACCTCGGGTGGTCCCGTGGCCACGTGTGATGGTTACAGACAGGCCTCTCCATTTTGGTTCCTTTTTGTGGCCACGGATTCAATGAACTGCAAAGGTGTCTGGAAGCGAAGGATGAACTGGGCTAGCTGGAGAGGTGTGAAGGCTGCAAGGACTGCAGCTTCACCCACACAGTTGTGCTGGACCACCTTCCTCCTTGCTCTTCTTAGCATCCGCATCTTTTTAAAAACAAAACAAGACCCAGATGCTGCCAATTGTGCTGAATCGAGCTCGGATCTTCGGGTCTCATTGCTTTGTTGTACAAACATAAAGGTACTCTCTCAGGTGGCTAATGAGAGTGCCCTGATCCTATTTATTTTCTCGCACCCTGCCTTCCCTGCACTCGAATCTGGGTTTCTTGATGTGAACAGGTAATTTATTGCATACACCCTGGGACTTGCCGCTGCCTCCAGTTTGTTGAAGCTTGTGAGTCATCCCACCGGGAGCTGGATCCCAGGAAATCCAATTAGCTCAAACAAATTGAGCAAACGTGTTATGGTTTTTAGCCTGGGCAAATTTAGACTTGTGTTGTGAGGTTTTTTTTTTTCTTCCCGATTATTTGGATTCCTGGCTGGATGTAAGGTTTCAGCAGCGATGTCATGTTGTTGTATGTTGTTATCGTAAGCAGCGGGATGTCCTCTTATTCACAAGTGGGGAATAATCCCTAAAAACCCTACAAGCTGCTGTTTACCCTAAAGCCAAGTAGCACATCCCCTACCATGTGTCCGAGCATAGGCAGGGGCTCCCACATCACTCCGGTGTAACAAAGGGAGGAGAAAAACGTGCCTGTGCCTGTTGATAGGTAGAGGGTAAATGTGGCCATTGCGGCAAAACAGTAGTGAACTGTACAAAAAGTAACTGAGGAGCATATTTTAAAGGCAAACATAGAGAAGGCGGCATGAGAAAATTTAAGGTTTTGAGTCATATGCATGTATATCAGTATAGCTCTGTTGACTTTAAAGTCGTCATGTATTTAGAGAGAGAGGTAGTCCCTGATGCTGCAAGCATGCACTCACGTGCTTGAAATTAAGCACAGGCATGAGGATTTACAAGGCAGGATTATGGTTTACTACAGGCTGGCGTGCAGTAAATGATGGCAGGATAGATTTGCCCTTTCTTTCCCAAACGGGATGCCCGAGGAGGCAATAGAAACCCAGCAGCAGGCAGGAGATGATCCACCAGAGAAGGGAGGTGTCTCAGGGGGGCTGGGCACCCCTGTTGTGTTTTTGACCTTGTGTTTGTTTCCATTGCTGCATCCTGCCCCTTCGCCCAGTGCCCACGGAGCTCATCGGCCAGGAGGTGAGGTAAGGACCCTGCTCCTCCTCGGCGGTGGGAGGGAGGGAAGGCCCCATGCTGGGACTGGCTTGGGTGAAGCCCTGCAGCTCCTTACAGGCTTGGGAACCTGGGTGAGGGGAGCAAACCCACGGGACTAATGGGGTGGAGTTCTTGCTGGGGAGCTTATACTGGTGGGCACCTTGTGTGCCCAAGTCCTCAGGGCACCACTTGACAACACACATCAGAAGAACCACAGGAGTTAAAGGGATGAAAACGTGAGCTCTGGATGGGTCACATTAGACTGAAGACCCTCCAGCCACCCTCTGTCCCATCCCAAATCTAAACCCCAGCAAAACCTGATGCCCATGTTTTGTGTTGCAGGATCATTAGGGACAACATCCTACTAACCAGAGTTTCTTTTCCATGTGTTTTACATCCTCTTATTGCCCCCAAACAATGTTGTGTCACATCAATTCTCGTGCCAGATGCTCCTCCTTTGGCCCTATGTCCCCTGTTGAGTCACTGAGGTCCTGTTGTCACTCATTTAGCAGCGCTGGCATGCCGACAGCAGCAGCCAAAAGAGCGGGAGCGAGCCTCTGCAGCCCTACAGAGCTTCTCATTATAAATAACAGCCTCCCCCATCTCTAAGCTCCCTTTAAACCTCGCACAAGGGCTTACACAAGAGGTAGGAGTCTTTAACCTGGACAGGCGCTAATAGCAGGGGCTGCCTTTCCTAGCAGCCTCGGTTAGAAAGCCGTGTGTGTCAAAGAGTAATTGGACCTTAACCAACCCAATTTCAGAGCTTTTTCCGCTCCTCCACTCTCCTATTACTCTGGAGAGACGGGAGGAGCGAGCGGCGGGCATGCCACTTCTCCAACTTTTATTGCTGAACACTTGAGTGGAGGTGGTAATTGGAGCAGGTGACATATATAAGGGGCAGGACAGAGTGCTCCACAAAGCCATCTCTGCAGCTGTCACCTAATTGCCTGATTAACTGGACGATTAATCGACTAATTGGAAGCAGGGCTTCGTCTGCATAACAATAAGAGGCCCTTTTGTCAAGCATATGAAGGCTGCGGAGAGGGGGAGAGCGGGTCTGTGCGGTGGCTGTTGCGGGGAAGGAGAGCAGCTTTAATAGACCTCGAAGCCCCTTTCCCCTTTTGGGAGTCCTGCCAAAATATATGAAACCTCCCCGGAGGAGAGCGGGAACGAGAAAGCCTGTCCCAGAACATGCCGAGCATCACCTCTGCGCTGGTGCTTTTTAAAGGGATTAAATTAACGCACCGAAGCCAGAGACATCCCAAATCGCCACCTGCTTCGGAAAACCTTGATGCTGAAGCACTTGGCTCTTTCCTACATACTTTTTACTGCAGGCTTCATTTCACCACATCAAAAATGGGGTGGGGGGGAATCAGCTTTAATTGATGCAGGAAAGCTTATAAAAGCCTGTAACATCTTCATCAGAGCTGCTCTTGTTTCCCACTGAATAAGGCCTTTTTCAGGCAAGTCACTGGTAACATAAACACCGCTCTGTCTTTTGGCATGCAGTCACTTAAAGCGTGTCTGGGGCTGCTCAGGACAGAGCAGCCTCAGTCATGACTGAGGGCAATTAAAATTAAATAGACTTTCAGATCATCAGCAGAGGGAGCAGCGAAGGGGGGAGCTCCCTCTTCCAATTACGCACGTTAGCGGGACGAGATCTTTTTATATATGTCCGCGAGCGTTTTGCTCGGGAAGGGATGCCTCGCTGGCAGGCAAGACCCCAGGCACGGCGGGGCTCGGGCTGCGTGTGCACGCCAAAAAAGCTGGGAGCCCTCTCCCAAGTGATGGTGTTGGAGGATGCTCGGCATCTCGGGTTGAAATTGGGCCACAAGCAAAGGGGACAGCAGGAAGGAGGGACTTCATTCTGCAGGGGCCAGGAGGTGCAGCTGACACCCACGGCCACATACCCGCCTCATGGAGAAAGCTGTGTCCCCTTAGGGGACACGCTGCCGTCATTTGCCCTCTTAGCATTAGCTTTGCTAAGCTAAAGCAAGCCGGTCTCCCCAAAGGAATTCCTACTCCCCTGACAGTTCAGTAACCCTTTCCTGTCCTGCTTTTGTGTTGAATTATATTCTTTGAACACAGCGATCTGACTTGTGCAGGGTGTTCTGGGGAGCTGAGCCATTAATAACCCATCGGTGCATCCAGCGCTGCTGCATCCATTAGCGCACTCAGATCCTCCTTATCCTTAGCTTGCTGCAAGGGCTGAGCTCTCTGCTGAGAGCAGAAATTCTGTGTCCCTAAAGCCTGACTTGGCACTTAGTACTATTTAATGTTGTCCTGTGTCTTTTACTCCAAGAATAACAGGCTGGCCAGATCCCCTCTGGGCTGGCGATGCCTTCTCCCTTTGCACTGTCATCAAGAGATTTCATTAGTGCTTCCAACTTCCCGGGCCGAGGGTGATACGGTGCTAAATGAGGTTATTAATCCTACATGACTCCAGAATTCCTCAGACGTCAGGCAAGTCACTTGGGCATCCTCTAATCAATGCCATAATCTGGTTTTGCCAGAAAATGTTTGCTTTATTGCTTCTTATCTGGAGCCTTTATAGCTCCTGGAGCTGGGACTAATTACCCCTGCAGGGGATGCGTGCGGCCCCGTGTCGAGGGATGCAGCAAGCTGCATTGCTGCAGCCCATGGCAAAGGCAGCAAGTGGCTGCGAGCGCTGCCCAGAGCCCCCTGGAAGTCTTTAACTCATCCTCTCCCGCAGAGCAGCAGGAACAAATGCAGGGATTTGGAAGATCTGGTCACCTAAATCCCATCCATTCCCCTAAAAGTGAGGCTCTGAGGTGCTTTTGTTGATTTTTGTCCTGGTGATCGCCACCCAACGTGCTCTGCCTAAAACCTCCTCGATCCGCTCCCAGCCTGCTCTCTCCAAAAAGCCCCCCATTTCTTACTGCAAGGAACCCCAGTTCCCTGATAAGCCATCAAATAAGTGAAAAGCCCGTGTTTTCCTCCTGCACCGGTGGAAAAGAAAACTGAAGAGTGGCAGAGGGGAGGCGGAGTGCAGTAGTTGTCTGCTTTTTAAAAGCTTGCTCTTACACATGCAAATCTTTAATTAAACATATTCATAAAACTATAACGAACCGTTCATCTAATTAAATGGGGTGAGCCATTTCATTAATTTTTAGCAAACTGCAAGGCTGCTCTCCTGCCCTCCTCACTTGGAATTCAAAGGGACAAGCTGAACCATTTGAGGGAAATTATCTTCCCTTTTGCAGTTTTTTTCTTCCTTGTGCACAGGACCTGTTTAACTGACCATAGTTTATACACTTCTAATTAAAAATGAATTCTCTGAGTCCTATTGCTGTTCTTGATGGTTGCTTGTTTTCCTCTCAAGCTGTCCAACCCCAGGCTGTAACGGCTCAGGACACATCCGTGGAAAGTATGCAAGACACAGAAGGTGAGGCTGGGTTGGAGATAGTGGGGATGGAGAAATGTGAGCAAGAAACCCAAAGACAGACGTTCGCTGGAGAGAGGCTGGTTCAGAGCAGCAACCGAACTCACCTGCCCCATATCTGCCTACCAAAGAGCCTATTTCTGTCTCTCTGTCAGTTCGTGAGGGATCCTGGGGGATCTGCTTTACCAGGCTAACCGTAGCCTTCCCACAGACCCCAAACCATGGCACAGTACCTGGGCTTGGGCACCTAGGGTTGATGGGAGCTGTTGGCAGGCAGAGATTTTGGTCTGCTCAGTGCCTCTATAGACAGGGAGGGGAAATGAGAGCACGTTGGCTGCCTTTGAGGCCATGCCAGCCTTAACTGATGGTTTTCATCACCCTGTAATGGTGAAATCTGAGCAGTTGGTGGACATGCCCCAGGGGCCGATTACTGCATCCCCTGCCTGGTTTCGTGGTGGCACTGGTGGCCATCACCAACAGTGGTGCTGGGAGCTGTTGGTCCTGCTGCTCCCTGGACAACAACTGCCCATTGGTCAGACTGCTGGAGCGAGCTCAGCATCCTTGCGCTGACTTCTGAGTAAAGTTGAGATAGTTGCAAATAGTCAAGGTCTGAGAGCAGATCTTCTGGCCACAAAGGGTTAAAACAGCTAAAAATCTGGGCTGCTGGATGATTTTTTTTTTTTAGTATTTTTGTATTTGTCCCACTTGCCTTTGCCTAACCGGTTCAGATGTCATAGCCATGCCTTTCTCACTCGGCAATGCCTCCTCTCTGCTCCTTGATCCCATCTGCAGTTTACAAAGCTGCCCTCTAGCAAAGAAGAGGAAACTTCAGGATGCGGAGGCCGAACATCTGGTGTCGAAGAGAAAATCCCATCCGCTCAAGCTGGCCTTGGATGAAGGCTACAACGTCGACAGCGACGGCAGCGAGGAGGCTGAGGTGAAGGAGGAGTCCGGCTCTGACGAGTCGGAGGGGACGCTGGAGGAGGACGAGGCAGAGGCAGTGGAGCAGGAGGAGACCCGCAGCCCCGAGCCGGCAGAAGGTGCTTTATCATTATTGATTGCAGAGCTGTGTTCTGCAGATGAGTAAAGGGCAGGGAGTGTTAATAACCAGGAGTTATAGATCCTCTGAATTATGTACAGGATGGGTCCTTCAATTATTATGTTTGGTGGAAGAACAACGGCAAAGCTCTGGTTAAGCTGAGGGGATACGCACAGAGCATCTCTGGTGTCTTAAAAATGAGAGCTTTTCCATCAGGGATGCTCCCTGGGGAAAGACCCATGGCAAGCATAAAGGAGCTTGCCACGTGGCTCAGAAGACAGCGGGCAAGGCAGCCGGGGTCCCGCATCGGTGCCTTGAGGGGCTCGGCTGCCTTCCCTGGTGCAGGAGCCGTCCCCCTGGCCAGATCCGGCCACTCTCCGAGAGGAGCGACAGGCGAACAGGCTGGGTGTCCAGCCGAGGTCCTGGCACTATGTTGCTCCCTGGTTTGGAGCCCCTGGCTCGGGGAGCACTGGGAGCGAGGGGGCCAGATGGCTGCTGATGGTGGGGGGCTGGAAGCTGCACGCATCTGAGCCCCGCGAAAGCTTCCAATGGAAATCCCCTTTCTACCTGCCATTCCCAAATGCAATAAATTAGGCTGCTCCAGGGGTATAACAGTCAGGCTCTGGTTTCAATTAAGCTTAAGTAAGACAAAAAGATGTTTATGAGCTTATACAATTACTTTCTTTTCCTCCTTTTTTCTTTTTCTTTTCCTCCTTTTTTCTTTTTCTTTTCCTCCTTTTTTCTTTTTCTTTTCCTCCTTTTTTCTTTTTTTTTCTTTTTTCTTTTTCTTTTCCTTCTTTTCTTTCTTTTCCTTCTTCCCCCGCCCCCTCCCCTCAGAGAGAAGCCCAGCAAAATCGACCCATTATGGACAAAACACAGCAACAAGTACGTCTGGGCCCAGCAAGGCCAACTATAGCAGCTATCAAGAAATAATCGCCAACTCTCTCCTAAACCTAGGCCAAATAGCGGAGGAAACCCTCGCCATCGAAGGGCAGCTGCCTGAAGCTGAGCTGCAGGTCTCCAAGCCGCCGTCCAACGTTGTGCATCTGGTCCACGAGGATGCGGGAGAGGAGTTAGTGGAGGAGGAGTGCGACAAGGAGATCATCATCCAGACGGAGGATGCGGAGGAGGTCATCGAAGTCACCAGCGAACGCAGCAGCGAGTTGTGTCCGGAGCACCGGGATGATGCAAACTGTGAGGAGTCCTGCAAACTACAAAAGGCTGAAGCAGAAGAAGAGGATGAGGAGGATGATGATGAGGAGGAAGATGAGGAGGAGGAGGAAGAGGAAGAAGAGGAGGAGGAAGAGGAAGAAGAAGAGGAGGACGAAGAGGAGGAGGAGATGGCTCCTGAAGTGATCTGTGAAGAAGCTCCTCACACTTCTCAGGACACCCAGAAAAGCCACTGTGAAGGGCAGTTCAGCCCAAAGCCCGAGTACTCGGTCATCGTGGAGGTCCGGTCGGATGACGACAAAGATGATGACGCTCGCTCCCAGAAATCAGCGGTCACCGACGAGTCAGAGATGTATGACATGATGACGAGGGGGAACCTGGGGCTGCTGGAACAAGCCATCGCACTGAAGGCTGAGCAGGTGAAAATTGTGCGGGAGCCCAGCCGGCTGCCAGGAGAGCACGTAAAGCACTTCCAGGTGGATGAGAAACAGAGCAAACCGCTGGACAGCATCCGAAAGAGCTACTACGGCAAAGGTATGGGGACGAGCCTCCGCGTGTCTCCTTCCTTCCCGTCCCCAGCTGAATTAGTCTGCTCAGCACCACATGAAAACTAGGCTGCTGGGGGGTTTCACAGCCCACAGAGGGAATTTAGCCACAAATCCTCAGTGCCCAGAGGGATGGGGACATCCTAGACATCAACAGTGAATGCACAAAATGATGGTGTCCTCTAGATCTCAGCAGGGGAACTGCCTGGCTAAATTGCCTGTTGGTCTTGAAAACCTCAGCCTGAGCAGTAGAGCTGGTTTAAAATCCAAGTGGGTTTTAAAGTAGTGGTAGGAGTCTGGCCACAGCAACATGAGGGACTTGGCAGGGGCTGCAGAGTCCCCCGGGCGCTGAGCTGGGCTGCCTGCTTGGTCGCTGTGAGTCGCTCCATGCTCCTAGCTGGGTTAGCTACTCAAATTTCTTTGCTGACTTTAATTTTTGAAACTTCCAGTGTTACAATTCCACCTTCAGGAAGAAAAACCTCCAAACCCAAAGGTTTCTCCCTGTTTCACTGCGAAAATGGTGGGAAGCATCCTCAGCAATTTTTCTCTCCTTTCCACCTCTTCCCCTCCGAATCTGCTAACCTGCTTCCCACTGCCCTTTCCCCACAATCCCTAGATCCCTCAAGACCCGAGAAGCGAGAAATCAAATGTCCGACTCCTGGCTGCGATGGGACCGGCCACGTCACGGGACTCTACCCTCACCATCGCAGCCTCTCTGGTTGTCCGCACAAAGACAGGATCCCTCCCGAGAGTGAGTACCTGGTGGGATAACACGGGTTGCTTAAATTAGTCTGAAGTCTTATCTCCTAGGGGGAATTTCACACCTGATGGGTAGAGCTGTCTCAAGGCCAATGGGCACTCCAAATAGTCCCAAATGATGTGAATTTTATGACTGAGTCCCTAGCACAAGGCTGATATTAATCCTTGGAGTATAACAGAGTTTCTGGCATGGGATGGTGCTTTTCCAAGTTGTTCTGGGATGCTCCTATCCACCAAAGTGTTTTCACTCTTCATGGGAAACTCTGTGGAGATTACTAGGAAGTCCTACCCTTCTTAAAGATTTTTAGCACCATCCTGTGGAGAATGAGGTCCCTTCTCAAGACGTGCTTTAAAAATGATGCCCACCTCCAGAGGTGTGTTAAGCTGTTCCCATCTTTACATTGAATGTCGCAGATGATATCCCAAATGGAGAAAAATGTTGGGAAGAAGGGGAAACTCTTCTTTCTTGCTGTCCAAATGTGCTGAAGCTGTTGCCGTACAGCAAAGGAGAGGAGTCGTTCAGGACGTGCAGGATAGCTGAGTCTCCTCCTATACTCTCATCACTGTAAAATTCACAAGGTCCTATATTGAGATTCATCTATTCCACAGAAAATATTTATCATCATCATAACAGATTTTTTTATATATATACATAGAGAGATATTTTATTCCTACCTCTCTACCAGCATCCTAAATAGCTTTCCCTGTGCATATATTATCAGTAATTTCAAAGGTTGCAGACCTGCCATAAACACAGAACTGCAGGAAACAAGGAGAAAGTACAGCTATCTTCACAGAAAAAATATTAATAAATAACTAACACAAGCTGTGTGCTTTAGAAAAGCCTGCAAATCAAATTATTTTCTTTACTTTTAAGGTCAGCACTGCAGGAAGGAATAATCCTGAAGATTAAAATTAAAAAAAAAAAATCAAACAAAGACTAGTCCTAAGGATAAAAGCAGAGATACAACTTCAATCACTTAGAACTACCTGAAATTGGGAGACCTGGCTCCAAAACAGTGGTGGGCAGGAGGGGCTGGATGGGAGAAACTGGATTGCAATCAGCAAATGAGGAGAAAGCCCAAGCTGTGTGCAGACATGCTAATCTAGTGCTGACCTGAGCACTGCTGCCTTGTAAATCTTTTTTTTCTGCACGCAGACGAATTCTAATTAGAGCATTTCACGTTCCCTGATTTCTAGGAAACCAGCGTACAAGACTTGATGATTTCGTATTTTTTTCTTTTCTCTGATTTTTATCAAGTTGTTTTTGCTTCCCTTCCCCTCTCCCCTTCCCCTTGTCGCTCTGAAGTCTTGGCGATGCACGAGAACGTGTTGAAATGCCCCACGCCAGGCTGCACAGGACAGGGTCACGTCAACAGCAACCGCAACACGCACAGGAGGTACCACCTTTGACTTCTCCTCCGTAACAGCCAGGGCAAGGATGGCAGCAGGGGAAGCATCCCCAAAAGCCTTGGCTTTACTCTTGTACTGAGTAATGGGCGAAGTAGGGATGACCCTAAAACAAAGAATAATATGAGAAAGCAAGACGGGGCAGTGATTTCTGGCTGGGCAATAGAGCAGAGCAATGCTTCCAGGCTCGCAGGTGGGACTACGGAGGGGTAGATGCAGGTGGGGGTTCATGGGAGAGGTGTTTGGCACTAGGGAAGCAGAGGGTGCCCGGTGAGGCTGACTGGAGGGTGGTGTTTGTGTTTGGTGGTGTGGCACTTAGCAGGATTTCTAGGAATTTCCACAATGTTTAGGCTGAAATTATTGACGAGCTGGGAATTTTGCTGTAGGACCTCAGCCCAGATGTGGTCAGGAGGGGACAGGGTTGCACTTTGGGACCTGTAATTATACCCCATGCTCTGGCTTCAGTTAAACTCGAGCACTTTTACAAACGGGAAGGCTGCAAGCGGAGGGGATGGTGCGCTTAAAAGCTAGAAACCTTCCAAAAAGCCAGACCAGCTTGTGCTACAGGGATGCGCTCATGAATTTATGATTTACCATTCGTTGCACTTGAGCTTAATTGGCAGAGGGTGACAGCTCTGCGAACGTCGATGCGTTTGCAGGTGCGAGGTGAGTTTGTGTCATCACTCGTTCAGCCGTGGAGGAAGCTGGTGGACGCTTCGTCGTAGCCGTAGCTGCTAAAGGAAAATTAGAGAAATCTGCTTGGTTAATTGAGAAGCTCGGTTTGCTGCAGGCAGCAAGCAATTGCAGTGAGATCGAGGTGATCCACTGGTGTTAGTGGGTTATGGAGCGAGCTTTGGGCACAGCGGTTTGGGCTGAGACCCGGCGGGGTTGCAGCCCTGAATTTCACGTGGGGCTGGGCTGGGGTTCCCTCGGTGCTGGCTGCTCCGGTGATGAAGGTGCCTGTGATGGCTTGGGGTCAGCTGGGAGCATGCGGGCTCTGCTTGTGAGGGGTTTTTACCTTCCCTGAGCAATCGCTGTAAGAGCCAAGCTGTCCCAAAGAGGCAGAGCCAGGCTTATGCGTAGGACGTGTGTGAGCAAAAGCCATTACAGCCCCCGATCTCCCCCAGGCACCGGCGTGCTGGCAGCCATGCACATCAGAAGTGCAAATGCTTCCCTGCAAGCGCCCCTCAGAAGGCTCCCTTCAAACGGCCCCTGCAAAAGAGCCAAATAAATACAAATCAAAAATGCCATTTAACTGCTAAAACCACTCAAAGAAACCAGCCCATCCCCTTCTGCCCTGTTGTGCTCAGCCCGGGGGAGCTGCCTCCTTGACCCACCTCCGGGCCCTGGGGATGCTCCGGGGCTCATCCTGGAGAGATTTGACACTTGATGTTTGGCTGCTTTGCTGCTTGCCAAGACTAAAAGTAAGCTAGGATAATGATAATAAAAAAAACCCTTTTAAACGCAAACACTTTTCTCATGGGCTCAGTGCAGTTCTGGGTCCCTGAAATGAACATTTTCATGCTCATCCCTCATGCTTGGTTTCCTTCTCTCTTTTTCTCTCCTTTAAAAAAAAACTCCCACAGTTTATCTGGGTGCCCCATTGCTGCTGCTGAAAAATTAGCCAAATCGCACGAAAAGCAACAAACCCAGTCTGGTGATCCTTCAAAGACCAGCTCCAATTCTGACCGGATACTCAGGTAAACGGGACCGCGAAGCCCAGCGCCACGTAACCGCGCTGCCCCGGCCCTCCCCGCAATGCCACGCTTGCAAGAGCAGCCGTCACGGCTCCCTCCGGCTGTATCTTGATACTGCTGAGTCCTGTTATTATGATCATAAGTCTCGCCAAGGTGGGGAGATATTTAATTGATGATCCCAGGGAGGGCATTGAGGACAATGAATTGCTTCTGTAGCATCAATTAATGCTGAGGCTACAGGCCAAAGGGTTTTACCAGTGCAGCAGAAGGCATTTGTGCCGATTGCTCTGCAATGCAAACTGCCAGAGAATGATGGCTATTATATTAGCATTATAAGTAAGGTGGGCTCAGGGAGGGGGAGGAGGAGATTTAGGCTACATATAAATCACTCGATGGCAGTTTCGCGTAAGTCCACCCGCTTTTCTTCCTTAGCCCACACGGTTCAGAGGAGAGAAACCTGCCAATCATTGCCAAACCAGTCACATTTATTTTGTTATTTCGCCCGTCTCTGTCTTCCTGGGAGAAAGGGCTGTCTGGTACTGAGGATGTCCCTGATAGACGCTGGCTTCCGTAGCCGATGTGATTCATGAGGCTACAGATGGATTGTAATACAGTTAGTTATTTTGCAATGAGTGCAGGATAAAAACCGCTGTACGAGCCCTGAGTAGCACTCCCACAAAGGCATCGAGGTCTGATTAATTTATTTATTTGCTCCCCAGGACTGCTGAGCACCCTGGTGCACCAGCGCTCAGTGCTTTGGAAAGGCCATTTAGGGCGATTACTTATTTATTTCCAGCAGAGCCCACGCCGGGCGCAGAGCGCTCTGAGTGCATCATGAGGACAGTCCATGCTCCAAGGAGCTTCCACTCCGAGGACTCGCGGGTGGGAAGAGGTCACGGGAAGGAGAATAACAATAGGCCATTTATATACAATTTATATGCAAGACAAATTGATTCATGATAGGCAGCCCAGCAGAAGCAGGTCTTTAAGAGGGACTCTGCAGGCAGGGGAGAGGCCCTGGTGCTTTTGCAGTGGGGAGTGGAGCTAAACTGGGGTCCTCACGCCTTCGTGTGCCATCCTGTGTCATGGGTCCCATAAATGAGTGATGCCCAAGTTTCTACTGCTGTTGGAAAATGCTGCCACACCACGGCAGCCTGCAAGAATATTGTTTTGCATGAGATGGATGCCTCGGTGTTTTGCCTAAAAAGAGAAAAAGGAAAAAAGGAAAGGAAGGGGAAAAAATAAAAAAGGAATCTAAGAGACCCAAACCAGTTGCAGACTTGCTGAGGGAGAGTAGAAGGGCTGTCGCTGCCTCTTCTTCCCCAGTAACCCACTGGGGACAAGGTGCAGCTACGTGTCCCCATCGCGTCCGGTCCCCTCCCAACAACCGTCTCATCGAGGAAAAGAGAAATCACTGCTGCTCGTTGTTTCATCCTCAGGCCTATGTGCTTTGTGAAGCAACTGGAGATCCCTCAGTACGGAAGCTACCGGCCCAACATGGTCCCAGCAACCCCCCGGGCCAACCTGGCCAAGGAGCTGGAGAAGTACTCCAAGGTCACCTTCGATTATGCAAGTTTTGATGCTCAGGTTTTTGGCAAACGCATGCTTGCCCCAAAGATTCAGACTAGCGAAACCTCACCTAAAGCCTTTAAATGTAAGTTGGGAGCAGGGATGGGCTGGGTTTTGCGTTTTCTGCCTTTCTCAGCGTGTCGCGAGGCTCTTGGGATCGTGGCTTGGGGTGATGGGAGGCTCGGGGCTGAGTCGCTTGATCCCTCCTGCTGCTGCAAAGCAAGGGGAAAAACGGGGATGGGGGAGGCTGGGATGCGTCCTGTGGCATGTACATGGTGCAGAGAGGGGCCCATAGCTGCCGGTAGAGCTTTGCCTGGGGGAGAGGCACTTTGGCTTTGGGAAGAATTGCATCGAGTGGTGGGAACATTAATCTAAGCGATGTCTCTAGGTGGGATAAGTTACACAGTTGTCCTCAGTCAGTCCCCGCTGCTTTGCAGTTCATATCTATTGATCTGTCTTTCCTCATCTAGCTAAATGGATTATAGTTTTCTTCTCTTCCATCTTATATATGACCCACTCCACCCATTTGTCTTCTCTGTTGTGCTCTGCTCTCCAGCTCTGCTACCTATCGATCACCCACCTCCTATCTCCCCGCTCTTTCCTATCGCAGCCACCCACCTCTGCTCTTTACCGAGGACCTTGCGCTGGTTACAACACCGTGCAATGAAAGTGTGGGTGAAAATGAAATGGCTAAATAAACCTTCAGGGGCTGGGCTGTCAGGAGCAGGAGGGAAGCTGCATGGGGAGCCAGCCTGCCGCAGAGTGATGTTAAACCTCCTCCTTCCCTTTGACACCAAACGTGCACCTGAAGACATCTTTTTGAGGGGGGAAAAAAAAAAAAATATTTAGGAGCCCGGTTTGCAGAAGTCAGCAGCCTTAAGAGGGCTTTCTGTCTGGCTAATCCCACTTCCACAATCCTGTTTAATCCTGATGCAGCTGCTCTCTAAAAAGTGCTCGTACTTGAAAGCATCCTGGTTGTTGCACTACAATGGAAGCGCCCTTTATTACAGTACTAAATCTGTAAAGGATCAGACAATGAAATTGGATGGAGGCCAGAGAGCACAACTGCCACTGTCATCCTGGGTTAGGGCTGATGGAAAAGTAATTCGTTTCCCAGCACAAGTGATTCTCTTGCTGAATAGATTGTGTTATTTGCAATATTAGCAAAGAATTTTCAGGGTAATTGTACTGACAAAAATAATTCCAGCAGACCCACTAGGATAATCTTTTCTATTTTTTCTCATCACTTATTTTACTAATTTGCTGATTGCGAGTCTATTAGTGGTAGAAATACTTACGAAATGGAAAGGCATTGCTGAGCCTACGGTGTGAAATTGAAATTGGCATCTCGCGATCCTGGATATTGTCAGGTTGGGCTGGCAAATACCCGCACCCCGCCGCAAAGACATGGATTAAACTGGACTCGAAAACAAGCAGCCATACACAAGAATAACCATTTGGGCAAACCTCCAATGAGTTAATCAAAGCGACAAGATGAATATGATTGCCAATCATAGCAGGGAAATCTGTTCCTTTCACTGAGAACTTATTTTAAAGAGATCTTCATCCAGAGGGATTTATATTCCCCTGCATGTGTGTGCATAACTCCCATTAATGTCAATATGCATTATGTACACACACAATGAGGAAGAAAGCAGTCCTGGGGAAGATTAGCATTTTATAGTGTCTTATATTACAAGTTTGTAAGGGGAATAATGAAATCGCTTTGCTCTGTAGCCGCATCAACCAAGGTTGTCTTGCTGCTTCGCCATCGTCGGGCCAAAGCTTATGAGTCTTCCCTGGGTGAGACTCCCACTGAAGGGGGGGGATGTTTTCCCCCAAAAAGGGCATAGTGAAATGAATTAAGAACTTGAAGATTTTGCTAATTGATTCAGAATACAATCCTGTGACTGTTGAAAATCAGGCGATCCCCTGTTTGCACCCACTGAAGTGACTGACTTCAGAGGGACTCTGTGTGGGTCAGGGCCCTCCTAAACAGGTCCAGGTTCAAGATTAGGGCAAGTTTGATTGTGGGTTAACCCTGGGAAATACTCACTTTCGTTTCGTAGGGTGTAAAGAGAAATTGCCTCGCCAGGATTGCACTGCTGCGTGCTGTGACATAGAGTTACAGTGCGGTGTCGTGGCCGCGTGCGGCTGTGTAGTAAATCCTGTTATTCAGGCATATTTAAATGATATCTCATCTGTCAGAAAATCCATATTTCACTGGTGTGATCATCGGAAGCTCGTATTTCATAGCCATGGTTTTGCTATCAATGTAATTTTTTAAATTGTAAGTTTTCAAACATGCTACAAGAAATCTCCCCGTAAGTCAGCTCTGCAGATAAGTTATGAACAACAAAAAAAGAGCCAGGAAGCTTCTCTAAACTTTCTCCTTTAGCTGCTTCCACCGAGGAGTAGCTTTAATGAAGAAAAGCGCTCATGTTTTGGGGACTTGATGGCAGAGTCAGTTAATGAATTAAGTTTTCACACCGAGAGACCATTGCGCAAGCCGCAGCCAGCACTGCTCCTATTGCACACCCCAGGCAACAAAATAGCCCGTGGATTGGTAATAACCGCAGGTTGCCACTGGAACTGCTAATACGTTAGCTGTGTCAGACTGACTTAACCTCTCACCGCTGCCCGTGCTGGTTATACATTAGCCTTGTGTTGTTCCTTCTCTTTTTATTCCAGCCAAACCTTTTCCAAAGGCCTCTTCCCCCAGCCACAGCCCCTCCAGCAGTTACGTGAAGAGCACTTCATCTTCCTCCACAGGCTTCGACTACTCCCACGACGCCGAGGCTGCACACATGGCTGCCACCTCCATCCTCAACCTCTCCACCCGCTGCTGGGAAATGCCGGAGAATCTCAGCACGAAGCAACAAGAGGCCCCCGGCAAGGTGAGCCGAGCGTGCCCGGGGACCACCACGCCACCACGCAGCAGAATGGGTTAAAACTGGAAGTTTGGGATGGGAGAAATACCTTTTTTTTACCCTTCCTTTCATTTTAATCTTTAAATATAGAGGGAATGCAGAAACTCATCACATAATCACCCTTTCACTCCCTGCTTTGGGTGATGCAGTTCGGAGGAGGTAATCTTGGCTCTTAGTGTGTTATGGAGATGCATCATGATTCAGATTACCCATCTGAGACGAGCATCATTCCCAAGCAGAGTCTCAGGGCTGATTTCAGTTGCTCACTGGTCTGTATCTGATGCCATTTGAGATTCCCCAGTTGTGTCCAGGCTGACCTCCAGCTATTTTTCAGAGGAACACAGGTTTTCCAGGAGTCCCATGTTGCACCCCCAGCCTTGGGCAGATGTCTTGGATGCCATGGGGCATCTTAAATGGCACTAGATGCCTGTGCTCAAGCAACTGAGTCAAAATGCCACGTTGCTGGTAGTAGAGGAGTGCATTTGCACGGCATGTTTCTGAAAATATTTATGAAAGAGCATCCCTTCCATTCAGTTCCTTCTAACTGACTGTGGAGAGGATGGGACATGAATAATCTGCCCCCTGCATTGTAGAAGACAAATGGGGGCAAGATCCCCATAGGGAATTGCTGGCAGCTGCTAACGTTGGCCATGCTTCCGACCTTTCAGTCCATGGACATTGAGGTGGATGAAAATGGGACTCTGGACTTGAGTATGAACAAGCACCGCAAACGGGAGAGCACCTTTCCCAGCAGCAGCAGCTGCAGCAGTAGTCCCAGCATGAAGTCCCCAGATGTGTCCCAGCGCCAAAACAGCACCAGTGCCACGAGCAGCACCATGACCTCCCCCCAGTCCAGCCAGACCTCCCGCCAGGATGAATGGGATGGGCCCATTGACTACACTAAACCAAACCGTCAGCGGGAAGAGGAGCCAGAAGAGGTGAGCGGTGACTCTTGATGTTTAAATAACATCTCATGGGGGATTGAATGCCATATTTGCTTGCACAGTTGTCCTATTTTCCCCCGGAACCCCCAGTTTGCCCTTTGAGCATAGCAGAGGAGTATTATTAGCTTTGTCAGTGCTACCAGACATCAGCTGTGGACAATCAGGCAGGAGCAGATGCTCTTGGATCTGTTGGGTTGCTTTTGCCAAGGAAGAACCCACCACTTGCATTCTCCTGGGTCTGCAGTGCTTTCTTCATTGTAAATCCTTTCAGCTCATTTGCACCAGTGGTGCTCCTGGTGACGTTCCCCGGGATGATTTGTATCTGCCATTAGCAGATATGGCCCTGCGTGCCACTTCACATTAATCCTTGCAGGTGGGGGAGCCCAGCCATTACCTCCCGGCTGGGGTGAGCGTCCTGGCCCTGGAAGCAGCACGCTGCTTCTCTGCCCACGGGGAGGCAGGTGCTGCTGAGGATGAGTATGGGGGGATTGCACTGATCTTCATCCCTTCAAGACCTTGGGAGAGCCAGGTGTAAATCCCTGTACAGACGTGTTTTACCCGTTTATCCTACAAAAAGGGGAAACTGCAGACTATTTGATCTCTGGTTTGGGTACTTCAAGGCGCTTGCAAAGGGCTCAGGAGCGTTGGCAATGCTGTACTAACTGGGATGAACCTGGGATCCTTTCCCGCCATGGCTCAGCATCTATGACCACCACTACAACCACTTTTCCTGGCTGTTTTCTTGCAGTCAGAGCCTGCCGCCCACTCTTTTGCCTCCTCGGAAGCTGACGAGCAAGAAGTGTCGGAGGAAAACTTTGAAGAACGAAAATACCCAGGGGAAGTTACTTTAACCAACTTCAAGCTTAAATTCCTCTCCAAGGACATCAAGAAAGAGCTGCTCACGTAAGTCCTGTCTTCTTGTCTCTTCCTCCAAAATGTATAAAATATGTATGCAGGACAGCCAGGCTGGTAGGAGACAAAATTTGTTAGCAAATACATTTTAAAAATTAGAAGTGTAGTTCCCTTTCTTACTGTGATTGGTCTTATCTCACCCAAGCGGTTCAAATGAAAGCTCAAAGAGAGATCCTATCCTCATACAACTGCTGATCAATGAGGCATATGGCCTTGAAACTCTGCAGTGATGAAGGGATCTTTCTGGGGAGCTCGGTGCTCTCAGGATTCACAGATGTGGACTTAGAAACCTCCTTGCAGGGCATGTTTTCCCTGGTGTTTTCCTGCACGTGTGTTTCTGGCACAGTGATGGAGCCTGTCCAGCCTCCTGCCCTGAATTATTTTGGGACACTGGGTGATGCTGTGGAGCCAAGAGCACCCGAGGGATCTCAGTACCTTCTTAATGGCGGCGCGTGACCGCAAGGGGCCTTTAGGTGCCTCGTTGGGAAGGCAGGACTTGTTGGCTGTTTAGCGTAGAGCAATGAGTCCCATCACCGTGATACTGCAGGGCCACAAAATGTGAACTAGGGCTACAGCAAGATTGCATCTTACATTGGAGAGAGATCTTAACCGAACTCACATCTGTGTATTCATGGTATTGGGTGGGTGGAAATATAGACCCAGGTCTATTCTATTAGGTGGAGTATTGCTCTGCATCCACACTGATCCTCCAAACTAATGGTTAATGTTTAGAGCCTGACCTAAATGCTGCAGCTTGGACCTGGCTCTGATCTAATGGCAGGTTGGGATCAGACTGGAGGTTGTGATGGGGAGGTCTCACCTCCCAGGCATCCCAGCAGATCTGCTGTGCTTGGGCCTCTTCCCTGTGCATCTGACCTTCCCATATGTTAAACAGGGAAGAGTCAGCGGGCATCGTTTTGCTGACTTTATACAACGTAGCTCGTTATTTGGCTACGCAAGCAGGAAGCTGAGGGAGCAGACAGGCAAGGAGGAGATCTGTAGGGGCAGAGCAGCAGCAGCATCTTCCCTAAATGAGCAAAGCACAGGCCAGCTGCCGTATGCAAGCTCTAAAGGCTTTGTTAAAATCCAGCAGCGATGTGAATAGCAGTTTCTGAGGTAGAGCCCTGAAGTCCTCCTGTGCTATAATTGTACTATGAGGGTAGAGAAATTTCCTAAATGGAAACAGCCCTGGAATAAATAAATGGTGTCGTGGGCAGTCCTGAGCCTTCTCTCCCCCTTTAGCATCCTTGTTCCTTTCTGGCCCAAGGGCCGTAATGAATTAGCCGTAGTTAACTCGGGAGCAGACTTGCCCTCTGTGTCTGTTTGACGCTCTGTGTCTGGGTGCAGTTCTTGGGCCATCTCCAGGCGCTGATGGCAGTCGCTGTGAAGGTGCTCCTCACCTCCATCTTCTCACTGCCCTGCTGTTGGCACACCAGTGCGTACCACGTAGCAATACATCACTGCTGCTCGAACATCTTCATATCAGTGCTGGCTCTAAGGCTCACTGTGTTTGTGTGGGTGTTGTGGTTGTGAAAAGGACTCAAGGGTGAGCAGGGAATAGCTGCATCCCCAAGACTCAGCCTGCCCGGCCAAACTGTCCCAGGACGTCCCTGCAGTGTCCCAGGACATCCCTGCTCTCTTGCATACCCCCTGGCCTCGGGCAGGCAGGGCACGACCGTGCCAGAGCCTCACTGCTCATGCACAAACTGGATTTTATTCCCTGGAGACCGAGAAGGGACGACACCTTTTCCCATCGCCCACGCAAGTGCAATTCTCTGGGGAGGCAGCGGAGAGGGACGGGTGGGAAACGCAGCCCGGCGAAGGCAGCAGGTGGGATGCGCCAGCTTCTGCCTGTCCTCAATTTCGGAGCCCCCAGGCACACGAGTCAGAGGTTACTTTTATTCCCCTTCCGGAGTGAAGAGTGTTTTCAAGCTTTTCTTTGCAGCTATAAGGGCTGGGGAAAAAAAAATCATTTCAGAAAGCTGAAATCTGACGCTTTCAGGGAATAAGCTGATTCCTGCAGCCAGAGCTTCAGTTTTGCAAAAATCATTCAAATTGGCAGCACCAAGGCAGTGGTGTTCATGCCTGTTCATTCATGCCACCCAGCAGGCTGCTTTAAGTCTTCCACCGCCACCGAGCAAACCAAGCAACTAAGTATTTTGAACACTTTCTTCATATCATATTTGCCCCAAATTTTTTTTATTTTTTCAGATTTTTT